TATTTGGATTGCCTCCTACTAGTGAAAACACGTAGCCAAGGCAACTTGTAGATGCTACAATTCGATGCTTAATAAACACATGGGCATGGGGTTTATATAGATCTTCAATGAAGCTGATTGGGAAGCGAGATTTCGATGTGGGAATAGCTTAAATCAGTTATTAAAAAGAACTGGGATTGCTAAGGCGGCAGTACAACTGTACGGGATCTACTTGGTTAACTCCAATTTTAATATTACTTGGCTCTTCTTCAAGTTCAAGTAGGAATTGAACTTGTCGACGCAAATTCAAGTTCAAGTATGAGACAAATTTATTGTCGACACAAATTGTTCAGCTGTTTGTTTGGTTTCGTATAAGAATCATAAATTTCACAAGATTCAAGTTATAGTGTTCACGGTCTCCTAATCATATGGGAATATGTGGTATGATGATGTCTCCTACGTGGATTTTCATGGAAGTTTGTGAACAAGAATTAGGATGTTTAATATATGGTGCTAATGTTAAGTAAAATTTCAAATAATGTAAAAGATGTTGACCTACATGCTCATATTTGTCATTTCATAGATATTGTGAAATGCAAATAGATCACTTTAATAAGTTTTAGGAATATTCATAACAAAATAAATACTATGTTAATACTTCAACCCTAGCCTTTTGGAGTTGGATACGTCTAAACCAGTCGAGCCTTGAAGTAGGGGGCATTTGTAGGCATGCAAATTTTATTGAATATAAATTCAATGAAATTATTTGGACCATTTTAAATATATAGTCCAAATATATATATGGGCTAATATAATTGAATTAATTATATTAGTCATATATATATAGATTTAATAAATGAGTCTTAATCTATTGGGCTAGCCCATTTAATTGGGCTAAACTGATGAGCCCACTTCATTAAGCCAAAGATGACATCTTCCTAGAGGCCCAGTTTGGTGCCACGTGTCAAATGACGTGGCACACCAAGTCAAACGGAAGAGCCAATAGGATCATGTCACGTGTCAAAATGACAAGGCATGCCAAGTCACACAAAAAGGCCAATGAAATCATGCCACGTGTCCAAGTGACATGTTCTGGCCAATCAAATACGGCCATGTCACACTTCAATTTGATTGGTCGGAAAGAGTTTGTTCTTATCATAACTCTTCTCTTCCACAACTATAAATAGGGGTCTTCATAACTCAGAAAAGACACCAGAAGTTATAACAAGAAGCAAGAAAGAGCTCGTGGATCAAACGCTGCAAATTCCTCCACAAGTTTCAGGCTTCAAGTT